TGCCAGGGGAGCCTGGGCTGGGGATCACATGGAGGAGACGTCCTGGGAGCTGGCAGCTTCAGGGGCAGCAGCAGGGAGAGAGAAGCACCTGCAGAGAGCCATCCCCAGCCTGGAGAGGTGTCCCAGGCTGGTGGGAGGGGTCACTGCCAGGTGTGTCAGCACCTGGCTGCACTGCCAGGGGAGTGAGACCAGCTCCAGCCCACAGCTGTGTGCCCCACACCTCTGTGCCCCACACCTCTGTGCCCCACTCTGTGCCCCACACCTCTGTGCCCCACACCTCTGTGCCCCACACCTCTGTGCCCCACTCTGTGCCCCACACCTCTGTGCCCCACACCTCTGTGCCCCACTCTGTGCCCCACACCTCTGTGCCCCACACCTCTGTGCCCCACTCTGTGCCCAACACCTCTGTGCCCCACTCTGTGCCCCACTCTGTGCCCAACACCTCTGTGCCCCACTCCTCTGTGCCCCACACCTCTGTGCCCCACTCTGTGCCCCACTCTGTGCCCAACACCTCTGTGCCCCACACCTCTGTGCCCCACACCTCTGTGCCCCACTCTGTGCTCCACTCTGTGCCCAACACCTCTGTGCCCCTCTCTGTGCCCCACACCTCTGTGCCCTACACCTCTGTGCCCCACTCTGTGCCCCACACCTCTGTGCCCCACACCTCTGTGCCCCACACCTGTGTCCCACACCTCTGTGCCCCACTCTGTGCCCCACTCTGTGCCCCACTCTGTGCCCAACACCTCTGTGCCCCACACCTCTGTGCCCCACACCTCTGTGCCCCACTCTGTGCTCCACTCTGTGCCCAACACCTCTGTGCCCCTCTCTGTGCCCCACACCTCTGTGCCCTACACCTCTGTGCCCCACTCTGTGCCCCACACCTCTGTGCCCCACTCTGTGCCCCACTCTGTGCCCAACACCTCTGTGCCCCACACCTCTGTGCCCCACACCTCTGTGCCCCACTCTGTGCCCCACACCTCTGTGCCCCACACCTCTGTGCCCCACTCTGTGCCCCACTCTGTGCCCCACTCCTTTGTGTCCCATTCCTTTGTACCCTTCTCCTTTGCGCCCCACATATTTTTTACCCACTTTGTGCCCCACTCATTTGTGTCCCACTTTGTGCCCCACTCCTTTGTGTCCCACATCTTTTTGCCCCTCTCCTTTGTGCCCCACTTTGTGCCCCACAGATTTGTGCTCCACTTTATGCCCCCCTTTATGCCCCACTTTGTGCCTCACACCTTTATACCCCACTTTGTGCCCCTCTCCTTTGTGCCCCACTTTGTGCCCAACTCCTTTCTGCCCCACAGATTTGTGCCCCACTTTGTACCCCACACCTTTATGCCCCACTTTGTGCTCTACTTTGTGCCCCACTCCTCTGTGCCCCTCTCCTCTGTGCCCCACTCATTTTTACCCCACTTTGTGCCCAAATCCTTTGTGTCCCACAGCTTTTTGCCCCTCTCCTTTGTGTCCCACAGCTTTTTGCCCCTCTCCTTTGTGCCCCACAGATTTGTGCCCCCCTTTGTGCCCACACCTTTGTTCCCCTCTCCTTTGTGCCCCAGCCCTGGCAGAGCAGGCTGCTGTGAGTGTGGGAGTGCAGGGGCTGGAGATCCTTGCAGGGAAGGTCCAGGTTGGCTTCTTGCTGAGGGGGTTTCAGGGCTGGACTCTCCCATTTGTGGCAGGATTTCACCTGTCCCATCTCCATTTTCACATTTGTAACACTCACAAACCTTTGTATTTAAACCTAAATTTAAACCTTTGCATTTAAACCCAAATTTAAACCTTTGCATTTAAACCTAAACTTAAACCTTTGCATTTAAACCTAAACTTAAACCTTTGCATTTAAACCTAAACCTTGCTCTTTGTTTGCATTGAAAGAGCTCCTCCTCCTTTGAACAGCTCCTGGCCGTGGTGGGGGACATAACCCCAGATATTTACAGTTCCTGTAAAGCAAAAGAACAACTGAAACATCTGAAATGAAACTAAAAACTGAACCTAATTCCCCATTTCCACGGCTCTTTGGATCTCACATTTCTTTAGCACAGGCTGATTTTTTCCTCCATCTTCTGCTCAGATGGGATTCCTGTTGATGGGACGTGAATGTCCCCCCATCCTTTTGTGCCAGGCAGTTTGGGAAGAGCTGCTCATGCAATGCTTGTGAGAAATACTTCAGAGCTGCATGTGTCAGTGGGAGAAACAGATCTTGGCTTGACTGACATGGCAAGATCATTGTCTGCAGCCAGCTCAGTTTGAAGTTCACACCAAGGCTTTGTGGAGGAGCTGGAGGGGCAGAGGGAGGACCAGGACGGATGCTGGTGGTTCTGTGCCACGATCTGAGCACAGGGTGGACCCCAGGAACATCAGAGCACTAAATACAGCAGCTGTGCTTGCTCAGCAGGCCTAAGGGGAGGTGTGAAATTCAGCCTCAATCATCACATTAGCAACACCTCCTGAGAATTCCAGGATCCCTTTTTTCCCTGGTTTATGTCTCTGAAATTCTGGAGAAAGTAATGAAATTATCAGGGGGGGAAATAGAACATTAATACATGGCTAATATATAAATATAGGAACCATGGGCTAAACTCCTTCCCTGCCTCCCAGCAAACCTCACCAGAGCTTGTAAAAGCTCCCAAACACAAAAAGCATCACACAAGTGTAAATATTGGAGCTTTTATTTGCTTGGATTCAATAAAAACCCCAAAGAGCTGTTGGGTGTGTGGAGGAAATGCTGCTCCTGGGACACCTGTACAAACCAGTAAAGCCAGAATGCCTCTGGTCAGAAGGAAAAGAGAGGGAAAATGTTCCTGGGAAAAATGCAAGGAGGCAGGAAAATCCCTGAGGGGTTTCAGCTCAGGGTTCACAGTGTGGTCATGGTGCATTGTCACTCACAATGCTTTTTTTCTTTTTGCAAATTCTACCCAAAATCTCCTCCAGAAAGGGTGATGCTCTCATTACCAAGACCTCAAAGTTCTCCTTCCCTCGCTGCTGCTTTCGTGCAGGTCTCTTAAAGCTTTTAAATGAGCTGGATTAATAAAATATGCTCCATCTCTCTCGTGCCCACATTTTAAATTAATCATGGCAATCCTGCTGTCAGTTCACGCTGGAATGAACCAGTGCAGCACACCCAGTCCCCGTGTCCCCAGCCCGTGTGTCCCATCCTGTATGTCCCCATGTGTCCCTGTCCCTGTCTTGCATGTCCCTGCCCCACGTGTCCCCAGCCTGTGTGTCCCCTTCCAGCCTGTCCCCAGCCCCTGTGTCCCATCCCGTATGTCCCCATGTGTCCCTGTCCCTGTCTTGCATGTCCCTGTCCCTTGTGTCCCCATCCCGCCTGTCCCTGTCCCGCCCGTCCCCATGACCCGGCTGTCCCTGTCCCTGTGTCCCCATGTCCCTCCTGTCCCTGTCCGTTTGTCCCCATGTCCCTCCTGTCCCTGTCCGTGTGTCCCTGTCCCTGTCCGTGTGTCCCCATGTCCCTCCTGTCCCTGTCCGTTTGTTCCCATGTCCCTCCTGTCCCTGTCCGTGTGTCCCTGTCCCTGTCCGTGTGTCCCCATGCCCCTCCTGTCCCTGTCCGTGTGTCCCTGTCCCTGTCTGTGTGTCCGCATGCCCCTCCTGTCCCTGTCCGTGTGTCCCCATGTCCCTCCTGTCCCTGTCCGTGTGTCCCTGTCCCTGTCCGTGTGTCCCCATGTCCCTCCTGTCCCTGTCCGTGTGTCCCTGTCCCTGTCCGTGTGTCCCCATGTCCCTCCTGTCCCTGTCCGTGTGTCCGGTCCCGCAGTCCCCAGGGGGGCCGGCAGGGGGCGCGCGCGGGCCGCGCAGCCGGGGGGTGCTGAGGGAACAGGGGGGACACGGAGGGGACGAGGGCGGTAGGGACAGGGACAGGGGACACATGGAGGGACAGGGGATACAGGGCAGGGACACGGAGGGGACACAGGGAGGGGACAGGGACAGGGAACACGGTCAGGGACACGGGCAGAGGACACACGGAGGGGACAGAGACAGGGGCCAAGGGGAGGGACACGGGCACGTTCCCCCTGCCTGCCCCCTCTCCCCGGTCCCTCCGCCGCTGTCACCTCCGAACACCCCCGGTGGCTCCAGGTGCGAGCCCAGCAGGGCGGGGGGCGGTGGCTCCCCCAGAGCCGGCTCCTCATCCCCTCCTTTGGGGACCTGGAACGGGGCTGGGGCTCGGCACAGGATCCAAACCGGGGTGCAGCCACCCCCGGGAGTGGGACTGACACCCCTGGAGCCTGCCCAGGGGGAATGGGGTGGGATGGGATGGGAGAGAGAAGAGAAGAGAAGAGAAGAGAAGAGAAGAGAAGAGAAGAGAAGAGAAGAGAAGAGAAGAGAAGAGAAGAGAAGAGAAGAGAAGAGAAGAGAAGAGAAGAGAAGAGAAGAGAAGAGAAGAGAAGAGAAGAGAAGAGAAGAGAAGAGAAGAGAAGAGAAGAGAAGAGAAGAGATCCTCAGTGGGAAGGGAACAACAAGGATCATTCAAGTCCAGCCCAGAGCCAACAATCCCACCCTGGCAGTGCTGTCCAAACCCTCCTGGAGCTCTGGCAGCCTCGGGGCTGTTCCCTGGGTACCCTTGGGGGTAGAACCATTCCTGAAATCCATCCTGAGCTCTGCTGACACAGCGAGCTTGAGGCTGCCCCTGGCCCCAAGGTGACAGAGAGCCCAGGGCAGGGAGCCTGGGCAGTGACAGAAGCTGCACCAGCCTCTTCCTTCCTCCCTTCTGCAGTGCTGGGGCCGTGCTGGGCACAGCCAGGGCAGAGCCCAGCCCCTGCAGGAACCAGTGCCACCAGTGCCACATCTGAGCTGTCCTGGGGACATCCTGCAGCACACTGGGACCAGCAGGATGCTCTGGGCAGGTTTTTGGCCACTGTGTAACCTCGTGCCTGGCTGGGTGTGTGCTGAGCCCAGACCTGCTGGCCCTGGGAGCAGTTTCCTGGCCCCTGCTGGTGTCACCTGTGCCTCAAACCACCCCCTCTCACCTGCATTTCAGCCCCTGGGCCGGCCCTGGGCTCCGAGCTCCTGGCAGGATGTGTTTCACAACCCCTGCCTGGTTTGTGTCTCTGTTGCTGTAGATACCAGCAGCTTCTGCCTCGGTGTGTTTGCTTGTTTTTCTCATCTTTGTACGGCCTTGCAGGCACAAAAACTGTAGAAGCACACAAGTTCAGGGTTTCCAAAGGAAGCTGTGGTCTGAGACGTGCAAAGAAATGTCAGTGGTGGAGAGTTACACTTGTGGTTAGTGACTGTTTATTTGTTTTGCTAAGTAGAAGCAGGTGTCACAGAGGGTATTTGGGGAAAGAGGAGAAGGGCTGTGCTGCTCAGAGGCTTGAAAACCTTCTCACCAGTGTTAGCTGTTGTTTTCAGACACAAGCAGCAGAATGCAGGCGACAGAGAGAAGGATTTTTCCTTCAGTCTTTCAACACAAAGATTAAAAACCTTTCAGCGTTCTCCTTTCATTTTCACTTTGTGTGTCACAACTTGAGAACCTTATTATCAAGCACTGCCCAGAGGTGAGAGTGAAGCAGTGGCAGAAACCCCAAATGTGCTCACCAAAACCCCTAAAGTGCTCAAGGAGAATCATGAGAGGTTATTAAAGTGCCTCGGGGTGCTTGAAGCACAATTGCTGCAGGAAGATTTGTGCATTCCAAGGGTTACTCTCTGCCATTGACTATGGACTATTTTAAAATTTGCTGTCTGACAGGGAACTACCAGTGCACTAAAAATTCTTCTCTGGAAAGCTAATGTTTGTATCCCTTGGCTGCCACTGGTTGCTAGCATGATGCTCAGTGTTTGGTGTGTGCTGAAGCTGCCTGGATCCAGGAATCTTTGTCTTCATCACTCTTGAACGCTCCCAAATCCAGGCTGGGGAGTGCTCTGGGATCTGCCCAGGGAGAGCAGACAAGTCTGGCTGCATCTAAGATATTTCATGATGTTCTGGAGAAAATGCCTTGAATTTAATCCAGGTTATTTACATAGTTCCTCTCTCTTTTTTAATTTTTTTTTTTTAATCAGGTTCACATTTTTAGTGGGTGCTTTGTGTGAGAGGTTTAATTTCCTGTGTCGGGATGTTGTTTGTAATTACAGCAACCAGGATTTGGGCAGGTTTCTCTTTTTTAATTTAATGTATTTTATTTATGTAATTATTGCAACCAGTAATTTTATGTAAATGTTATATAAATATATAAATATTATATAAATAATTTATATTATAATATATTATAAATATAATATATTGTATATAAATTATTTTTATATATTTATATATAAATAGTTTATATAAATATTATATAAATATAATTATTTAAATAATTAAAATCAGGTTCACATTTTTAGTGGGTGCTTTGTGTGAGAGGTTTAATTTCCTGTGTCAGCATGTTGTTTGTAACTCCTGTAACCAGGATTTGGGCAGGTTTCTGTTCTTTACCTTATTTGTAACTCCTGTAACCTGGATTTGGGCAGGTTTCTGTTCTTTACCTAATTTGTAACTCCTGTAACCAGGATTTGGGCAGGTTTTTGTTCTTTACTTTACCTGTAACTCCTGTAACCAGGATTTGGGCAGGTTCTTGTTCTTTACTTTACCTGTAACTCCTGTAGCCAGGATTTGGGCAGGTTTCTGTTCTTTACCTAATTTGTAACTCCTGTAACCAGGATTTGGGCAGGTTTTTGTTCTTTACTTTACCTGTAACTCCTGTAACCAGGATTTGGGCAGGTTCTTGTTCTTTACTTTACCTGTAACTCCTGTAGCCAGGATTTGGGCAGGTTTCTGTTCTTTACCTCCCCCAGGTAAGACATTTCCTGCTCTGTGCTGGCAAATTGTCTCCCCTGTACCTGGGCCCCAGCTCAGGCTGACAGGGCACATTTCCCACTGTGCACAATTTTCAGGGCTAATTTTTGCTCTCAGCTTTACAGATCAGCTTTTGTTCTCCCTTCCTGCCCTCACACACTGTGAGCAATTAACTCCTCTAAAAGACCCGAATTTCGCTATTAAAAGTCCACACCAGAGCACATCTAGATGCATTTTAAAAATCACTCCTTTGAAATGGAACCTCTTATGCATTTTAATATTTACTGGAATTGTTTCCTTGGTCCACAGAGTAGAATTTGACAGGGTTTGTGTGCAGTTCCCACTTGCACACTGAGCAGTTTGGCCTCTGTGCTGTGCTCCAGGGGCTTTGAACCAAGGAGAGCTCCACAGGTGGGTCAGCTGCAGGGTCAGAGTCTCATCCTTGAAGACAAACACAGGGGTTGGGATTCTTGACTCACTCAGAGCTTTGCAAAGAAATGAAATAAATAGAAAAGGTGAATAAAAGCATTTGAGATGTGACACTGCCTGTGTAGCTCTGGGGGTGTCTCCATGAAGACACTTTGTGAGCTAAAGCTTGAGGAGGGGGTTGTGTTTAATTATTTGGGTGATCTGGGTTTGATTATTTGGGTTTGCACCTGGGTTTGCTGTAAGTGCTGATGGGGGGGGTGGATTCACCTGCTGGGTTCTTTGTGATGTTCACAGAATCACAGAATAATGAGGTTGGAAGGGACCTGTAAGATCATCGAGTCCAACTTTATATTTATATTATACATATTATATAATATAAACATATTATATATTATAAATATATATTAATATAATATATACAACATATATAATACTATATAATATATAAATATATTATATATATGATATATAAATATATCATATATATTATATATATTATATTATAAATATTATATATTATAAATATATATTAATATAATATATACAACATATATAATACTATATAATATAATATATAAATATATTATATATTATATATTATATTTATAATATATATTAAAATATAATATATAATGTATCATATATAATATATATTATATATAAAAATATATCGTATATATTATATATATTATATATTATGAATATATTATATTATATATTATTTATATATAAATGATATATATATTATTTTTATATATTTATTATTAATATATTATTTATACTATATTGGCCAAAGCTGGGAAAGGCTCTGACCTCTGTCACTGGACGCAGCAAAAGGGAGAAGAAACAGAGAAATTCCTTTTACAGGTACAGTTTATTTAATATATTTATCATCTGGGTGGGGAATTGCTGAGAAGGGGGAGCTGTGCGGGGCCAGTGAGTCTCTGTGGGCAGAGCAAAGCCCTGGCTGGGCTCTGAGCAGCTGGAATTGGGCAGAAAAGGGCCAATAAAGAGAGTTTGTCCCCAGTGCCACCCAGTGTCACCCTGGTGGGGCCAGCCCCGCAGGGTTTGTGGCCCTGATAGCCCCAGGCTGGGCAGGGCTGTGCCTGCCTGGGGCTGATAAGGCTGATAAGGCTGATAAGGCTGATAAGGCTGTGGCAGCAGCCCTGGGGGTGAGGATGACGCCGGCCCAGGGAGGTTCTGGGCTGTGCTGGGTGCAGGGAGGGTGAGCTCGGGGCTGGCAGCACCACCAGGGCACGGGAGTGATTCCAGGGCAGGCAGGGAGCTGCAGCCTGTGGGCAGGAGATGGCTCTGCTGGGGCTGCTCTCCAAGCTGCTGCTCCCTGCTCCCACTTTCCCAGCGCTGCAGTCCTTGGAAAAGGCTGGTTTGTCCCCCTGCACTGCTTTTGTAGGAGCAGCAGAGGCACATCCCATCCTGTGTCCACAGGGATTCATCCCACCCTGCATTCCCAGGGATTCATCCCTTCTTTCATTCCCAGGGATTCACCCATCCTGAATTCCCAGGGATTCATCCCATCCTGCATCTCTAGGGCTGGGGATGTGCTGAGGGTCAGGGATTCACCCCATCCTGCACCCTGAGGGATTCATCCCATCCTGCACCCTGAGGGATTCATCCCATCCTGCATTCCCAGGGCTTCATCCCTTCCTGCATTCCCAGGGATTCATCCCACCCTGTATCCACAGGAATTCATCTCTTCCTGCACCCACAGGAATTGATCTCATCTTGCATCCACAGGGCTGGGGATGTGCTGAGGGTCAGGAATTCATCCCATCATTCAACCACAGGGATTCATCCTTTCCTGCACCCACATGATTTCATTCTTTCCTGTATCCACAGGGATTCATCCCACCCTGCATTCCCAGGGATTCACCCCATCCTGCACCCTGAAGGATTCATCCCATCCTGCATCCACAGGGCTGCATCCCTTCCTGCATTCCCAGAGCTTCATCCTATCCTGCATCCCCAGGAATTCATCCCTTCCTGTATCCACAGGGATTCATCCCTTCCTGTATCCACAGGGATTCACCCCATCCTGCACCCCCAGGGCTTCATCCCACCCTGCCCTGGCCAGGACCCAGAGCCATGGGAAGGTCACAGCCAGCAGGGGAAGGCTCCAGGGACCTGTGAGGGTTTGGGCAGCCAGAGGGATGGGTGAGAAAGGGCTCCAGTGGCAGGAGTGTCCCAGGGGCAGAACTGGAGACCTTTCTGTGAATGCTCATCCATCACTGCTTTGTTTGGTCATTAATTTCCAGTTAATTGCATTAATTTCCAGTTCATTCCAATAATTTCCAGTTAATTCCATTAATTTCCAGTTCATGCCATTAATTTCCAGTTAATTGCATTAATTTCCAGTTAATTCCATTAATTTACAGTTTATTCCATTAATTTCCAGTCCATTTCATTAATTTCCAGTCCATTCCATTGACTTCCAGATTATGCCATTAATTTCCAGTTCATTTCATTAATTTCCAGTCCATTCCATTGATTTCCAGATTATGCCATTAATTTCCAGTTCATTTCATTAATTTCCAGTTTATTCCATTAATTTCCAGTCCATTCAATTAATTCCCAATTAATTCCATTAATTTCGAGTTAATTCCATTAATTTCCAGTCCATTCCATTAATTTCCAGTCCATGCCATTAATTTCCAGTCCATGCCATTAATTTCCAGTTTATAGCCACTGAGGGAGGCCTCCCCTCCCACTAGCACAGTGAGGGGAGCTGGGCTGTTCCCTCCATCCCCAGGACAGGGGTTGGGAGGGTGCCCAGCAGGGTTTAGGAGGAGCATCCCCCTGCCCTGTGCATGGGGGAATGGAAATGGAGATGGAATGGGAATGGTGGGAGTGGAAAACCCCCCATCCCCCTGCCCTGTGCATGTGGAATGGAAATGGAAATGGAAATGGAAATGGAATGGAAAACCCCCCATCCCCAGCAGTGCCTGTCCCTTGCCATCCTCAGGTGTCCCTTCACTAAACCCCTTTGCTCTTCATTGCAGAATTTGGGTCTTTGTCTCATTTTGCAGCACTTGGAAAATAGAAACACAGCAAAAGGCAAGAGCCCAGAAGTGTTTAAAACCCCTAATTGTGATAATTTCCTATGGCCCAAGCCCAAACTGGTGGGAATTAAAGTGAGCCAGAGGGGCAGAGGGGAGGCCCCTCCATCCCTCTGCCCTGTGCATGTGGAATGGAAATGGAAATGGAAATGGTGGGAATAGAAAACCCCCCATCCCCCTGCCCTGTGCATGTGGAATGGAAATGGAAATGGAAATGGAAATGGAAATGGAAATGGAAATGGAAATGGAATGGAAAACCCCCCATCCCCAGCAGTGCCTGTCCCTTGCCATCCTCAGGTGTCACTTCACAAAAGTCCTTTGCTCTTCATTGCAGAATTTGGGTCTTTGTCTCATTTTGCAGCACTTGGAAAATAGAAACACAGCAAAAGGCAAGAGCCCAGAAGTGTTTAAAACCCCTAATTGTGATAATTTCGTATGGCCCAAGCCCAAACTAGTGGGAATTAAAGTGAGCCAGAGGGGCAGAGGGGAGGCCCCTCCATCCCTCTGCCCTGTGCATGTGGAATGGAAATGGAAATGGAAATGGAAATGGAAATGGAAATGGAAATGGAAATGGAAATGGAATGGAAAACCCCCCATCCCCAGCAGTGCCTGTCCCCTGCCATCCTCAGGTGTAGCTTCACAAAAGTCCTTTGCTCATCATTGCAGGATTTGGGTCTTTGTCTCATTTTGCAGCATGTGAAAAAAATAAAACCACCTGTCCTATCACAGCAAAAGGCAAGAGCCCAGAAGTGTTTGAAACCCCAAACTGTGATGATTTCCTACACTGGTGGGGATTAAAATAAAGCAGAGGGGCAGAGGGGAGGCACCAGCAGTGCTGGGACAGCAGCAGCAGCAGCAGCACAGGGTGATGCTCTCGCCCCATTTTGCTGCTCCCAGGCTCTTTGGGGTGCTTGGGGCTGCTCCTCTGCCAGCCCCCAGCAGTGGATGCAGCAGAAAAAGCCTTCACAACGTGAATGAAAGCTCTGACAAAGGGAATGAGGAGAACCATTGTCTCCTTGGCCTTCTCCTCGCAGCGTCTGCGTGTAATGAGACTTTTGGTTATGCTTGTGGCTTCTGTGACAAAGCTGTGATTTAAGGGCTGTCTGCTCCGAGGCAGAGCTGCTCACACAGCCCAAAGTGCTGCTGAGTAATATTTTACCACAAATTGTTGTAACTGGAGCTCGACGACTGCACTGGGAAGGAGTGGGAGGGGTTGCATTTGATTTATTGGATGATTTAGTGCCATTTGCAGAGTGAGCTTTGTGCTGGTGTGGCTGTGGATGTGCAAATCCAGCAAGTAAAAGTCCATGGGAAAGGGGCTGGGGAGGGGAAATCTCCGTGGTTTGCTGTCACCATGTCCAGAGGAGGAGGCCTGGACCTGCAGGGGGCACAGGGGCTGCCAGCCAGATTTGGGCACCAGCATCAGCTGGGCATGGCCTGGAGCCCTCCCTGTGTGTGTGCCCATGGAATCACAGAATGGAACCATTAAGGTTGGAAAAAAGTCCAAAATTGAGCCCAACCTTTGCTCAAACACCACCTTATCAGCTGAACAGAGCACTGAGTGCCACATCCTGCTGCTCCTTGGACACCTGCAGGGACTGCAAACCCTCCTGGGCAGCCCCTTCCCATGCCTGAGCACCCTTTCCATGGAGAAATCCATCCTGAGCTTCTTCCTGCCTTTTTGCATCAGGTGTAAAACAGCACTGCTTGTTCCCTCAGCCTTCAAACCCAGCCACAATCCAAGGGATGCTTTCCTAAACCCGAGCCTTTTCCTAAACCCAAGACTTTTCCTAAACCTGAGACTTTTCCTAAATCTGAGCCTTTTCCTAAACCCGAGACTTTTCCTAAACGTGCAACTTTTCCTAAATCTGAGCCTTTTCCTAAACCTGCGACTTTTCCTAAATCCGAGACTTTTCCTAAACCCAAGACTTTTCCTAAACCCGAGACTTTTCCTAAAAAATCCAAGACTTTTCTTAAACCTGAGCCTTCTCCTAAACCTGAGACTTTTCCTAAACCTGAGACTTTTCCTAAATCCCAGACTTTTCCTAAACCTGAGCCTTCTCCTAAACCTGAGACTTTTCCTAAACCCAAGACTTTTCCTAAAAAATCCAAGACTTTTCTTAAACCTGAGCCTTTTCCTAAACCTGAGCCTTTTCCTAAATCCGAGACTTTTCCAAAACCTGAGCCTTTTCCTAAACCTGAGAATTTTCCTAAACCTGCGACTTTTCCTAAATCCGAGAATTTTCCTAAACCTGAACCTTTTCCTAAACCTGAGCCTTTTCCTAAACCTGAGCCTTTTCCTAAATCCGAGACTTTTCCAAAACCTGAGCCTTTTCCTAAACCTGAGAATTTTCCTAAACCTGCGACTTTTCCTAAATCCGAGAATTTTCCTAAACCTGAGCCTTTTCCTAAACCCGAGACTTTTCCTAAACCCGAGCCTTTTCCTAAGCCCCAGACTTTTCCTAAACCCGAGCCTTTTCCTGAATTCCAGCCTGTGCAGCATCTTTAGGAAGGGTTTGGGGAGGAAGGAGGTGAGGAGGGCAGGCTGCAGCCGGGCCTGCATCACTGTGAGAATTCAGGTCATGTTTACTACAGGCAGCTGGAACACGATGATCTCAGATGGTAACAAGTAACATCTGAGGGGACGAGTTAAAACATTCAAGCTGTTTTGTAAGCACCTACTTTGCTTTCTTTCCAAGCCCAGTTTGGCTATTTGCAAAGGATTCATTTGTCCCCTTAAGAACCTGGTGTCATCTTGCTGAAATAAGTGAACAAGAGCTTTTCCCTTCCTTTTGATTTCAAATGGAAAAATGGTTTTGTCTTTTTTTGTTTGGCTGGATTTGTGGGAGGTTTTTTGGTTTGTTTGGGTTTTTTTGGTTGTTTGTTTGTTTGTTTTGGGGTTTTTTGTTTATTTGTTTGGGTTTTTTGGGGTTTTTTTTTTGGTGTTTTTTTTTAAAGGCCCCAAAACAGCAAACAGAACCCCCCAGTCCAACTTCCTTTCTGCTTCAAGGACAGATACCTATGATCTGAGGGCTCCTGGCCTCTTGCAAGCTGACCTTGTGCAATTTCCTCTATTTACGTTTGGCCAGCACTGGCCTCATTGACTGCAAGGGTTTATACAACCCCTTTGGAGAGGAATACCAGGGATTGCTGAGGCACGTCCTGCCCACATTCCCCTATTTACTGTGCTGCTAAATAGATGTACAGTGCTGCTGAATAAATATCTCCTTATCCTATTTTGTTCTTGCTTTAATGCCTTTGTGCCAGGATAACAGAGAAGGTCACAGGCAATTAATTCAAACCAGGTGGGAAAAATGACTCTTAAAAATCTTTCTGTGCAGGGAGACATCTGATAGAGCTCCAGTTAAATGTGCTTTTATTTACGTGAACTGTGTGCAGGCTTTGCAATGCCTTTTTTGGGGGGGTTGTTTTTGAGGAAACTGCTGCAAATAATGTTTGTTCACTGCTGAAAGTGAGCCAGAGTCGAATTTGGAGACAGATTATCTTCCCTGGACTTTGGTGTTGGTGTTCCAGGCAGCTGGCATGCAGGGCTCACTCCTGCAGGCAGAATGGAAACAGCTTGTACCTAATGCACATCAGTGTGGTGATGATTCCCTCAGCATTTGCAAACCTAATGCACGCAGAGGGATTTGGGACGTGGCAGCACTGCTCCTGCTAGGGTCTGGGCATGCTGGACAGGGTGAGCAGGGAAAGGCAAATCAATAAATTGGGTTGGAGGGACTGAAAATTGCTCTTTAGCATGACTAATCTGCTATTTAGTGGCTTTTTGGGGGGGGGGGGGGGGGTTTAAAGTAATTTTAATTTAAAGTAAATTTTTCTGATACACGAGTTGTTCAGCCTGGCATGGAGAAAGTATTCAGCAATTCAGCCATGATAAAATAATTCCATGATTGTGTGCCCCGTGAAGACACGAGGGGAACGCTCCCAGGTGCCACAATTCAGGCAGCAGGAGAGGAAAAGGCTCCCTGTAATCAGGGCTGAGGGCTCACAGGAGCACCCTGGAGCTCAGCACCAAGCCACAGCCTGCAGGCAGCTCCTCAGAGAGCTGGGATTGCCCAGCTCCAGGGAAAGCCACTCCAGGCTGCAGGAATGGCATCTGACAGCTCCCACTGCAACCCAGCGAGAGGAGGAGAAGTTCCTTCACTTCATTATTTAAAAATAAAGGGAAAAAAAAAAAAAAGATAAGAAGGAAAGAAGAAAACCCCAAAAACAAAGGAAAAAGTTTATTGCAAATCTCAGTGTTTAAGAGTATTTCCAGAGTCCACTTTGTTACAAACAAATCAGTAAATCCTGCTTGTGCTGTGCCCTCACACACACACACTCACCACTCGCTCCCCTGCTCGTGCCACGACAGGAACAGAAACAATGGACTGTGAGGTCAGTGACAAACAGAGCATTTGATCTGGATTGGAAACTTGGTCATTAAAATTAAAAAAAAAAAAAAAAAAAAAAGAGAAAAAAACCCCAAACTAAATACAGTAGAACCTCGCAAATCTGCAGAACAGGGAGCTTCCACACACACGCAAAACCTGGAGGCCTTAATTCCACTTCCAAGCAGTTGTAATAGCAAAGTGCTGTAGTGAGGTCTTGTATCAATCACAAAGACTTCAACAACCTGACAAGGATAGGCTACAGAACATTTACCAGAACGCTTGAAGTATCATAAATTAACAATAAATTAAAGGTACATCGTAATGCAATGTGGCTATTTGTTCACTGATCACCGATTCACACAACTCTGGTTCTCTGTAGGGATCTTCCAGTCCTGGGTGCAACACAGCGAGGTTCTGCTGGCCGTGATAAAGTGCTGAGGCAGAGGAAGGACACGAGACCGCAGGTCCCGGGCAGTGAGGATGAATTTTTGCTCCAGCCACTTGGTTGCAAGAGTGCCCGTTTCTTTTTTTTTTTATTATTATTATTTTTCCTTCTTTTTTCTTCTTTTTTTTTTCTTTTTAAAATTTTTCTCTTTTTTTTTTTGGACATCTAAGACAGAAAAAACAAACCAAGCACCTTCCCAAAAAGAGGTTGTTCTATTTTTTTTTTTCTTTTCTTTTTTTTTTTTTCTTTTACAGATTGTCCCACATTTCTATGGCTGGTAAAACACAGACAGGTCAGTGTAGCAGTTAATGGATGATGCCACTTCCACTTAAGTACACAGAAATGGTGGTTTGGGGTTTACTTTTTCCCCCAAACCAGAACAGACTTGTTTGATTTGTCCCCCTGAGTTGCCTAGAGGCGAGAAGATGCATATAGGTGGGGTAAGCAAGCTCGTGTCACTGTGAGCAGGAATCTCTCCCATTAGGACTGAATGAACAGCTCCAGTGCTGTCTTCTTCCCTTCATGCACAGGCTCCACTTCATTTCTCACTGAAGTCAGCAGCAAAAAATGAAAGCCCCTTGCTGACTTGAGGGCAGAGCTGGGGAGGGGGTGCAGCTCAGCCCGGCCCCCCAGCACCCCGTGCTGGCAGGGCTGGGGGGCAGAGACAGGGGAAGGGCCTGGGGGGCAGCTGGGGCTGCAGCAGAGATTCCCTGTGCACCTGGGAGCCGAGGTCTTGGGTACATTAAGACATCCTGGGCCAAATCCTCCCTGTGGGGTGGGCTGGTTCCAGCAGCCGTGGGCACCAGCTGAGCCTTTTCCATGGAAAGAGATGCTGGATCTGTAATTCTTTTTTTTTTTTGTTTGTTTGGTTTTTTTTTTCCTTTTTAAATAACTGGGTTACTTAAGACTTACCTATTAAAAACAGCTACACTTTATGCTGTAAGAGTAATTTTCCCAACAATTTCACAAGCAATACAAGATAGGCATTGGAGAGATTGATGTAAAGACAGCTTTCCGTTATGTAGAAGATCATTTTTCCTCTCCAGTTATTTAAGCTAACCTCCTTTAACAATCTCAGAATAAATTAATAAATACTAGTTAAATTAGAAACAGTACATCAGGTCTGACTATCAACAGAAAACAGTTCTAAGGATCCCAGTTGGGAGAAGAAAAATGATCTTATGAAATATGTGCAGTAATAACTGGCCATAAAGACACACGGAGCCTTTGATTTCCCAGCATTATGTGACATTCAAGTTAAGATCATTAGCAATGGTTTCTAATTGTCAGCTATCTAGCCTGGCCTCCTCCTCCTCCAAGCTAAAAAGTGAGTCTGTGTCCCTCCAGAAGAAGATTCAGTTGGCTACTGGTGGTGTATGAAATGCTCCAGTTCGTATCATCGGGTCTGTGTGGAATTTGTGGTAAGGGATGGGTGACAGTCAGAGGCTGAGCTGCTTCTGCTGTTGCTGTTGTCAGTATTTATGGATCAGTTGGACCTTTACCTATGCTTGTTATCAGGAAAGCAAGTGTGCATCACATCTTCATGCTAGACAGAAGTTATTCTTATGTGACTATCCGTATTTTCTATGGAGCTTTCCATTGTTGGTTAAAAAAATTCTGTCTAATATTTAAAAAAAAAAAATAATTGTTGGTAGCAACTGTTCACATTTAAAATTTCACATTCCCTTTAGAATGGAGTTTTAAAACGTGGAGCAGAGCTGACATTTCCCCCAGCCTTACACTGAGTACATTAGATGGAGAAGGAACAGGGTTTTTTATACCACGCTGTCAGAGCCTTTTCCTGAATTTTCTGCTTTTCCAATATCCATGTCTATAAAGTCATCTGGTAGTTCTGGTGGTGGCCCTGCCGTGCTCTCCTCCACCTGCTGCTGCTGTTGCTGCTGCTGCTGGTGGTGGTGGCACAGCCCAGTCTTGCACGGCCTCACCAGGGCCAGGAACACGGCCCCCAGGACCATGCCAGCAGCACAGGAGTAGAAGGCTGAGCTGTAGTTCTTTGTCGTATCCACTAAGACACCTGGAAAAAAACACATTTACAGCAGTTAGCCACAGCCCACTCCTCCCCTGCCCTGCCCTCCTGTAGGGCTTTAATCTGCATTTTATCTGCAGCCAAAACTTGGTGACAATTGGATGCCAGGTTAAAAAACAAACCCCATTGTGTTCTGGGGTACACAGTGTCATCTCCAGTGCTCCCCTGGGCACTGCAGGGATGCTGAGCCCGAGATGCAGCAGGCATCTGTTTGTTCTGCCAGCCTTCACCTATCTGCAGTGCGTGGCACAGGCACAGCGAGAGGGACTCGCCTCTGCTTGTGCCTGAAGTGGTGCCAGCTTTGGGTTTCTAACAGGATCAGGGGAGCACTGCAGTATTTCCCTTCCCTCTGAGGTTCCTCAGTGCCTCATCCGTGGGACTCTGCAGAGCTGCATTGCAGTCTTCTGGCTCTGGGAGACTCCCAGTAGTGGTTGCAGGGCTGTGATTAGTGCTGCCAGAATACCTTCCAGACAGAGATCAGCACCCACAGCTGTCAAACATCTCCAAAACAAAACCAAGACCAAAGTTTGTGTTACCTGCAAGGGGTGGTCCAGCCAACCCAGCTAAGCTTTGAATGAAGACATAGACTCCAGCTGCAGAGGACATCCTCTCAATGCCAACCACGTCGTCTTCAGCCAGGAGAGGAATATGTGTGCCCGCCACCGTGCCGAGCATGAACCCAAAATAAACGCTACATATCATCAAGCCCCAGAATCCAGAGGCAAAAGGGAAGGCAACCAAGGCTACAGACAGCAGGATGACACAGATGAGCTCGATGTAGATCTTGCGGATGGGCTTCTTGTTGAGGAGCCAGCCTGCAAAAATCCTCCCGAAGACCTCGGCGATGGCCATGGCCGACAGGATGTAGGCAGAGTGGTCCTTGCCGATGCCCAGGCTGCGGCTCAGGGGGATGATGTAGAGGGAGGGAGCGAAGAAGCCCAGGGTTGCAAACAGGCCAAAGAATGCATAACAGATAAAGCTATAGTCTCTCATCACAGAGAAGTCCAGTAGTTTGGTTTTTGGTTCTGGAGGGGTGCTGTTATTGTCAATGGGGTTCTGTCCGTGTTGCTTTGGTTCTTCACTTTTCGGCTCTGCTTTGGTTTTTCCAGGCACATTGCTGGGTGAGGTAGTTATATCGACTCCTGAGTCTATGGACTCTATTGAGGTGCATGTTTGTTCGTTTTCAAGCATGTACTTTGTCTCTGTGGACTCCTCTGGAGGCTGTGCTTTCACTTCTTCCTGCTCTCTGATGACGATGGGGCGCAGCAGCGAGCCGCAGGCAGTGATGCCCAGCTGCAGCACCCCGACAGAAAGCATGCTGTACCTCCAGCCAATCTGCTCCTTCAGGGCCGTGATTGCTGAGGGAAGAGGAGAAGTGTAACTGGGAAAGCCTGTGGGCACACCAAGGAATTGAATTTACAGCCAGGGAAGGGAGCGGAGATTCTGCACTGGAGGGTTCCAGGCGCCTCTCGAAAAGGCTGAGCAGGGGTCCCTGGGGTCTGGCACCCAAATTCCTCCCCTCTGCTGCAGCAGACAGAAGCTAAAAGCTGTGGCTTTTACCATCTGCTAGCAGATGCCACCCTCATGGTAGCCTCTTTTGAGGTCTCAGCAGGTCTGGGGACAAAGGAAGTGAAGGAGGGCAAACTCAGTGCTTGAGTGTCCTCTCTCAGCTGCCCCCACCCTGAAACCAGCCAGCAGAGGAAGTCTCTCAGCTCTGCTCAAAGGTGCACGTCACTGCCTAATTACCAGCCTTCCTTTGCACCCAAAGCAGCTTTGCAGTGGGGATTAGCCCAGAGCACACGAGCATAGCAGACCACATAAACCTCCAAGGGCAGAGGTGACAGGGCTGTGACAGCCTGAGCACAGCTCCCCAAAGGGCTGGAGCACTTTGGCAGCCCATGCTGAGCACAAGCCCAGTAACCTTTAGGAGCAGTTCTGGGCACTGTGTGTTTTAAATAGCTGAAGTTTCTCGGGCTTATTTTTAGCCTGCCAGATCTATATAGGGAGCCTGGCGGGCTGCATATCAGCCAGGCATGTCCTGCACTGGCACATGGCACCGGGGGGGCTCAGCAGTGTCACACCCGTCCCTGGCACTGCTGTCACTCTGCCTGCTGGGTGCCACAGGCGTGTGGGCAACCACTTGTGGGCACTGACTTGGCCTCTGGCTGTTTGCTTGGGGAAAGGATTTGTGCCTTTGGCCCTCCCAGCACGTGGGCACCGTACCTGGTGCGAAGGAGAAGACGGCGAAACATTCCCCTGTGGATGCCACCGCTGTGACCAGCGAGCGCCTTTTGTCAAAATACTGTGATAAAATGGTGACAGTCGGGAGGAAGGAGAGGCAGTATCCGAGGCCTGTGAATAAATGCCAAAAATTGCCATAACAACAAGTAAAGGAGGGGGAAACACCGATGCAAGAACACGTTAAGTCGGCTTTCCCGGTGGTCATTACAGTATCATTTCGGCCAACTCAGCAAGTCACCCTGGAAGAAAATCATTGGGGAAACCAGAATGTTATTTTTTTTTGTAAATTGGAAGGGGGAAAAGAAAAGAAAAAAAAAAAGAGAAAAAGGAGAGTAGAAACCCAAACCAAGAGACCCAGCCTCCCAAACCTGCTAGATAATGCCTTCTGCTCCCAAACAGCCAGTGGGGTCCACTTTGAGGACCTCATCTGCTTAAAGTATTTGAGCCTGTAGCAACTGTTCCCCTAAGCAAGGCAAGATCCTGGCCATGGACATGAACAGGACACCCAGGCCAGGCTGGAGAGGGAAAAGCATCAGGAGAAGAAACCAGGGACAGAGGGAGCATTAGAGTATTTGATCCCAGGTGCAGCTTTGCTCTTCTCTGAGCTTTGTTCAGCTCATCAGAAGCCACCGGTGCTGCTGCACGAGCTCAGGGCCGAGCCCAGGGCGGTGCCCGGGGTGGCGCAGGCACAAAGCCAAGCCTGGGGCCCATCCTCGCTGCGGGATCAGCTCAGGAGGGGCAGCACACGGAGCAGGGGACAGGAGGGTGGCTCACCGGAGACGATGCCGATGGTGACGTACATGTGCACCACGCTGCGGGCGAAGGAGGCGATGACCATGCCAGCGCTGACCAGCAGCCCCCCGGCCATCACCACCAGGCGGTGGCCGAAGCGGTTGCTCAGGACCGTCGACAGAGGAGCTGCAGAGGGAGAGAGACGTGGTCAGCACCCACCTCAGCAACTGCACAGCCACCACCTCCTGCAGAGGCTCTCCTCATGCTCCTCCTGCCTGGGTTCCCTGAGGTGCCACCTCCCTGCACAGCACAGCGTCACCCTGGAGCCACCCCGGTGCTGTCGGGATGCTGTAGCTGGGCATCACCGCCTGCGGCTCGCTGAGGCGCCCCATCGTCATCAGAGAGCAGGAAGAAGGGAAAGCACAGCCTCCAGAGGAGTGCACAGAGACAAAGTACATGCTTGAAAACGAACAAACATGCACCTCAATAGAGTCCATAGACTCAGGAGTCGATGTAAATACCCTATAACTACCCTATAACAGCTCACAGGGTTTAGGACGTGCTACAAAGTCACCAGAATGCACATGGCAGCCTGGGACAAATCTCCAGCCACGTGCCTGGATGCCACTGGATTTCAGCAATACCACTGGATTTCAGCAAGGATCAAATTACTTCTAATCCTTTTCACTGCAGAGTTTGGTTTGAACACTCTGGGTTTTGCCCCTTGCTGGTGAGACCTGAACAACTGGGTCAGGCTCAGTGACACGGACCCTGTCCCTGCACCACCCACAGACATGGTTTAGGGCTCAAAGGGACTGCCAGGATGAGACAGACATTTCTTGCCATTTGAGGAGCAGCCTCTGAGCTTTATGGCTGTGATTTAATTTATAATGGAGCCATTAGAGGCACAAAAGTCACAGGTGCCAGGTCCTTGTGTGCTGAGTCAGCAGCAGGACTGCCCCTTGCACCTGGGCCCAGCGCCCGCTCCTCTTACCTGTGAAGGTCTGTACAAACACACATATGGATATTATCCAGGATATCCTGCTGTTGGTTTCGTCAAAGCTTTCCATCAGGTCGTTGAAGAAGACTCCAAAGGATTTTATGATGCCGTATGTCAGGGCTTCCACAACAAAGAACGCAAAGGCGACCGTCCAGCCCCATCCTCCGTCAGGCACTTTAGTATAAACGTTTGCAGAGGTGCACGGCATCTTTACAGCTTTGACCGTCATTTTGGATCTGGGAAAAGAGGGGACAGGCAGCCAGGCATCAGTTTAAGCTGAATTTTGCTGGAAGAGGCACAGCCTGGGAGCTGTAGCACCCCTAAGGCACCGTGAGCCGGACCCTGTGCTGCCAAGTGCGGGAGCTGGGCTGGTGTTTCTGCCTCTGTCCCTCCGTGGGCTCCTTCCTGCTGCTGCCCTGTGAGCCCAGCACCAGAAACTCCCAGCTCAGCACCCGGGCGAGCTGTTCCCAGCAGCCAAGCCCGGGAGCTGGGAGCTGTCATCTGTCTGTCGGTGCACGGGGGCGGATGGATGCAGTTCGTGAAAGATCCACCGCGGGCTGGTGGAGCCGCAGGAGCCCCCGGGCACCCATCGTCCCCAGCCTGGCTGGCCCCAAAGCAGCAGCTCAGGGCTGCCCACGCCTCAAAACAGGGGGTGGGGACACCCCCGCTACCACCAGGTCCTCTGCAGCCCTTGGCACCTCTGTCACCCCCCGGGGCAAGGGGGGCTGGATGGGATCACCCCATAAGACATGGGGTGTCCTCAGCCCTGCCCCGTGTCACCTGGGGCTGTGGGTCCCACATGGAGCTCCCCATGGAACCCCGGCACTGCACAGGGGAACAGCACCAGTGTCACAGTCAGGGGGAGGACACTGTGCTGGGGTCACTGCCACAGCCACCCGGGGGGACAATGTCAGGGTTACAGTCCTGGGCTCACTGCCACACCTGCAGGGGGTCCCACTGTGCCGGGGCCAGCACCACACCTGGGCAGGGGAACAAGTGCCAGGTCACTGCCACACCTGCAGGGGGGGGGCACTGAGCTGAGGCCACTGCAGCACCACATCTGGGCAGGGGGACAGTGACAGGATCACCTGCAGTGTGGGGGGTCAGTCCTGGGCTCACCGCCACACCTGCAGGGGGGTCTGCTGTGCCATGGTCACTGCCACACCTGTACGGGGGTACAGTGCTGGGGTCACTGCCACACCTGTACAGGGGACAGTCCTGGGCTCACCGCCACACCTGCAGGGGGGTCTGCTGTGCCATGGTCACTGCCACACCTGTACGGGGGGACAGTGCCACACGTGTACAGGGGGACAGTCCTGGAGTCACTGCCACACCTATATGGGGGTACAGTGCTGGGGTCACTGCCACACCTGGACAGGGGACAGTGCCGGGGTCACTGCCACACCTGTATGGGGGAACAGTGCTGGGGTCACTGCCACACCTGCACGGGGGACAGTGCCGGGGTCACTGCCACACCTGTAAAGGGGGACACTGCCGGGGGTCACTGCTACACGGGGACACTGCCGGGGGTCACCGCCACACCTGTGCAGGGGACAGTCCTGGGATCACCGCCGCACCTGTTCAGGGGACAGTGCCGGGGTCCCCGCCGCACGTGCGCTGCGGGGGGACAGTGCCGGGGTCAGCGCCCCACCCGCGCGGCGGTGCCAGTGCCGGAGTCAGCACCGTGGGACACAGCGCAGCTCAGCCCCGGCGCTGGCTCCCGGCCGGGCACGGAGCGGTGGCCGCGGTGGCCGCCCCGTCCCGCCCGGACCTGCGGCTCCCCCCGCGCCGCCGTCCCCGGCATTTCCCTCCTCCATTTTAGACTCGGCTCCTCGGCCCCGCGCTCCGAGCCCACCGCGGAACTTCGCCCGGCGGAGCAGGCGAGTGCACGGGAGCCCGGCCGGGCTGCGAGCCCACGCCGGGGGTCCCCGAGCGGGGCAGGGGGGGGGTCCCCAGGCCCGCAGCCCCTCCTGCGGTGCCGCAGGGCTCCCGGGGGATCCGCTCCGGCGGGGATGGAGCGAGGCGGGGGCTCCCGCATCCCTCCCTGCGCTGCCGCTGCCCGCGCCGGCTCTGCCGCAGCCGGGCAGGGCGAGGGGCACGGGCGGGACCCCCGAACTTTGCGGGAAGTGCCTGGAGACCCCCCGAGAGAGGGGACGGGGCTGCCACGAATTCCTGTGTCACTGCAAGGGGGGGAAAAGCTGATCGGGAGGAAGCACGCTTAGGGAACAGAAAAAAAAAAAAAAATGATAAGGGAAGGAAAAACAACCCAGCGAAACCGCAAACCTGGGCGTGTTTTTTGTACATTTAAAGATTAAAAGAAATAATGATGGCCGGGGAAAAAATTGAAAATGAAGAAGCCGGAGCGCAGGGGCCCGGCGTAGCCCCCCCTTCCCTGCATCACTTTCCCAACATTTCAGCCCTGATTCCTGCATCGCCGGGGCCGCGGGCTAAAAATACAGGGATGCGGGCGAGGGGAGGTGGGGAAGGAAAACGCTGGAAAAAACGAAAAAATGACGTTAAAAAGCGCCCCAAAAGAAGGGGAAAAAATTAAAAAAAAAAAAAAAAAAAGGGAAACAAAGCCCTCCCCCACCCAGCTCCCCCGGAATCCCCGGGCGGGAGCCCCACTCACCCGGTGCTGCGGCGGGGTCAGGGGCTGCCCATGGCCCGGGAGGGCGAGCGGGCGACCCTCGGCGAGGAGGCGGCCCCGCTGCCCGCCGGCCTCCGGCCGCTGCTGCTCCCGCTGCCCGCGGCGGCGGCTGCTGCTGCTCGGTGCTCGCTCGCAGCCCTTTTATACCGGCTGGAGCCGGTCTCCGCCGGCGGCTCCGCAGCGCCCATGTGCGCGGCGCCGGGCCCGGCTCGCCCAGCGGCGGCACCGCGTGTGCGGGAGGGGCGGTGCAGGGGCGGCCCCGCGGGGTCCGGAGCATCCCCGGCAGCCCCGCAGCCCCCGGCCCGCACCTGCCCCGCACGGGGCGCTCCGGCAGGTGCGGGGGCCGGGGTATTCCGCGATTCGGGGTCTGGAGCATCCCCGCGATTCGGGGTCTGGACCGTCCCCGGGTGCGGGGGCCGGGGTATTCCGCGATTCGGGGTCTGGAGCATCCCCGGGTGCGGGGTCCGGAGCATCCCCGCGATTCGGGGTCTGGAGCATCCCCGGGTGCGGGGTCCGGAGCATCCCCGCGATTCGGGGTCTGGAGCATCCCCGGGTGCGGGGTCCGGAGCATCCCCGCGATTCGGGGTCTGGACCGTCCCCGGGTGCGGGGTCCGGAGCATCCCCGCAATTCGGGGTCCGGGGTATTCCCGGGGTCCGGAGCATCCCCGGGTGTGGGGTCCGGAGCATCCCTCGGGTCTGGAGCATCCCCGCGATTTGGGGTCTGGAGCATCCCCGCAATTCGGGGTCCGCATCATCCCCACGATTCGGGGTCTGCATCATCCCCACGATTCGGGGTCCACATCATCCCCACGATTCGGGGTCTGCATCATCCCCACGATTCGGGGTCTGGAGCATCCCCACGATTCGGGGTCTGCATCATCCCCACGATTCGGGGTCCGGAGCACCCCCTTTGTGCGGGTGGGATGCAGGGAGCACATGCCGGAGCCCCCCCCCCCGCCCCCCGGTGTTTTTGTCCCCTTCGAGGTTTGGGTGCTGCCCATATTTTCCCTAAGGGGATGATATGCCCCTTGTTTGGATTTTTCAGGACAAAACATCTCCTTTAGTTGTGTTTCTAGGGAAAAGCATTGTATTTTTAGGGGTAGCCACTTCCTTTAGTTGCATCTTTAGGGAAAACCTCCTTTTCTTTAGGGAAAATCTCATTTTGTTGCAATTTTAGGGAGAACCATCTCTCTTGGTTGTATTTTTAGGGGAAAACATCTCCCTCAGTTGCCTTTTTCTTTTTTCTTAGGGAAAAACACGTCCCTCAGTTGTATTTTTGTGGAATACGTTTCCTTTAGTTGTATTCCTAGGGAAAAACATCTCCCTCAGTTAAATTTTTAGGGGGAGATGTCTCTGTCACTTGCATTTTTTGGGAAACATCTCCCTTACCTGTATTTTTTTTGGGGAAATCATCTCCTTTAGTTGGACTTTTAGGGAAAAACATGCTCTTTTGTTGCATTTTTAGGGAAAAACATCTCATTTAGTTGCATTTTTTTTAGGGAAAAGCATGTCCCTTGGTTGAATTATAAAACATGCTCTTTTGTTGCATTTTTAGGGAAAACCATCTCATTTAGTTGCATTTTTTTAGGGAAAAGCATGTTCCTTGGTTGAATTATAAGGGAAAAACATGTCCCTTGGTTAAATTATAAGGGGGAAACATTTCCATTGGTTGCATTTCCTAGGGAAAACCAACTCCTTAGTTGGAGTTTTAAGGGAAAACATGTCCTTTATGTAGGAAGCTTAAAAAGTAGGGATTTGTGAGTCAAGCAAAGCAGGAGAGACCAACTCACCACTTAGAGGCATTGGGAGGGAGGGAGCAGGGGTTCAGTCATCCTAAAATCACAGAACATCCTGAGCTGGAAGGGACCCACAGGGATCCTTGAGCCCAACCCCTGGCTGTGCACAGACACCCCAAAATCCCACATTGTCCTTGAGAGTGTTGCCCAAGCTCTCTTGGAGCTCTGGCAGCCTCAGCTCTCTGCTGCTGCTCCTGCTCTGGGTGTGCTGGGCACAGATGGGTGCTGCCAGGAGGGTTTGCACCATTCCCTGTGGGCCTCTGGCTTCTGCCTGCAGGGAACAGTGGCCACACTCCTCACCTCTGCTCCCCTGGGTTCTGCCCCTGGGCTGGCCCAGGAGCCCAGCACAGTGTGTGCTGGGTTGATGTGGCACCTGCTGCTCCTGCTTCACACCCCTGCAAAAAGCAGCCAGGCTGAGATGTCCCTGCACTGCAAGGGCTGCTGTGCTTGGCTTGGCCACGGTCCCTTCTGCTGCTTTTCCCTTCCTTTATCCCAGTGGGACAACACAGCCAGGGCAGCAGGTAGCTGGGGCAAAATTCTCCAGATTGCTCAAAATGAGGCGAATTGTTGCTTTTTTTTTGGTTTTGGGAACTTTGGGAAAGCTGCTGCTGGTTTCTCTTGGCAATGCTGGCCCAACAGCTGCTGCCTCCAGCAAGTGCTGGGGCTCTCAGGGAGGTTTCTGCAGTCCCCTCCTGAACCAGCTGAAATCCTTCTGAAATCCATCAGAAATCCATCAGAAATCCATCAGAAATCTGGGTCCTCAGCCATGGGAGGACCCTGTGTGTCCTTGAGAGCCTCCTGTCTCCCTGTCCCACAGGAAACCCCTTCCTTTGAGGGGGCCTTGGAGGTGGCTGTCCTGTACTCATGCCCTGCCTTTTAGAGGTGCAGATAAAGGGTGACCACCTTTCTCTGGCCCTGCAGAGCCAAAATCCCGTTATCCAAGCTTTTCCTTGGGAATGGGGCACCCTCCCCGTGCTGAAATTCTTCCTGGTAACCACAGTGCAAGTGCTTGTGGGACAACAAAAGAGGTTTGTGCCTCCAGGGGAGAAAAAGGAACGCAAATATCTTTGGCATGAAAAACCCCAAAGCGATTTGCTCCTCGGTATTTCTTGTCAGTGCTCTGCATCTGTCTCTGCCTCACCTTCCCATTCCTTTCCTTTGGGCTTTCCAAGAGCAATAAGGCTCTGGGGAGCCAAGGGGGCTGCAGGGGCCCTGTGGAGGGACAGGGATGGTGGCTGCAGCCTCTCCAGCCTCACTGTAAAACTCTTTTTCCCCCATATTTTTGGGGTAATTTCCCAAATTTCCCAATTTGCTGCTTGGCTTGGCTGGGATCCTTTTCCCTGGCACATCCATCCTTGGTCCATCCCGTGCCTGGCAGCGCTCGCAGCAGGACGTGCCTCTCCATCATCCCAGCAACTCCAGCAGCAGGGCTGGGGTAAACCCTTTTCTCCCCATATTTTTGGGGTAATTTCCCTGCTGCTGGCCTGGCTGGGATCCTTTTCCATCCTGGGTCAGTCCCATGCCTGGCAGTGCTCACAGTGGGATGTGCCTCTCCATCATCCCAGCAATTCCAGCAGCAGGGCTGAGCCCTGGGGGCTCTGTGGGGGGACAGGGATGGTGGCTGCAGCCTCTCCAGCCCAACTGTAAAACCCTTTGTCCCCCATGTTTTTGGGGGAATTTCCCTGCTGCTGGCCTGGCTGGGATCCTTTTCCATCCTGGGTCACTCCCATGCCTGGCAGTGCTCACAGCAGGATGTGCCTCTCCATCATCCCAGCAACTCCAGCAGCAGGGCTGGCGTAAAACCCTTTTCCCCCCATATTTTTGGGGTCATTTCCCAAATTTCCCAGTTTGCTGCTTGGGCTTGGCTGGGATCCTTTTCCCTGGCACATCCATCCTTGGTCCATCCCATGCCTGGCAGCTCTTGCAGCAGGACGTGCCTCTCCATCATCCCAGCAACTCCAGCAGCAAGGCTGGGGTAAAACCCTTTTCCCCCCATATTTTTGGGGTAATTTCCCAAATTTCCCACTTTGCTGTTTGGCTTGGCTGGGATCCTTTTCCCTGGCACATCCATCCTAGGTCAGTCCCATGCCTGGCAGTGCTCACAGTGGGATTGTGTCTCTCCATCATCCCAGCAATTCCAGCAGCAGGGCTGAGCCATGGGGGCTCTGTGGGGGGACAGGGATTCTGGCTGCAGCCTCTCCAGCTCCCCTATAAAACCCTTTTCCCCCCATATTTTTGGGGGAATTTCCCTGCTGCTGGCCTGGCTGGGATCCTTTTCCATCCTGGGTCACTCCCATGCCTGGCAGTGCTCACAGCAGGACGTGCCTCTCCATCATCCCAGCAACTCCAGCAGCAGGGCTGGGGTAAAACCCTTTTTCCCCCATATTTTTGGGGTAATTTCCCAAATTTCCCAATATGCTGCTGGGCTTGGCTGGGATCCTTTTCCCTGGCACATCCACTGAGGGTCAGTCCCATGCCTGGCAGTGCTCACAGTGGGATTGTGTCTCTCCATCATCCCAGCAACTCCAGCAGCAGGGCTGAGCCCTGGGGGCCCTGTGGGGGGACAGGGATGCAGCCTCTCCAGCCCCACTGTAAAACCCTTTATCCCCCATGTTTTTGGGGGAATTTCCCTGCTGCTGGCATGGCTGGGATCCTTTTCCATCCTCGCTCCATCCCATGCCTGGCAGTGCTTGCAGCAGGACGTGCCTCTCCATCATCCCAGCAACTCCAGCAGCAGGGCTGGGGTAAACCCTTTTCTCCCCATATTTTTGGGGTCATTTCCCAAATTTCCCAGTTTGCTGCTTGGCCTGGCTGGGATCCTTTTCCCTGGCACATCCATCCTGGGTCAGTCCCGTGCCTGGCAGCGCTCGCAGCGGGACGTGCCTCTCCATCATCCCAGCAACTCCAGCAGCAGGGCTGGGGTAAAACCCTTTTCTCCCCATATTTTTGGGGTAATTTCCCAAATTTCCCAATATGCTGCTGGGCTTGGCTGGGATCCTTTTCCCTGGCACATCCACTGAGGGTCAGTCCCATGCCTGGCAGTGCTCACAGTGGGATTGTGTCTCTCCATCATCCCAGCAACTCCAGCAGCAGGGCTGGGGGCTGGGGGCTCTGAAATGCACAGGGAAGCAGAGCAGGAGTGCTGGCTGTGGGCATAAATCAGATAAATCAGCCAGGAGCTGGGAAAGAGGGCGGGCTGGGCAGGCAGGGGAGCGCGGGCCCCTGGCCGGGTGGCTCCGGCACTTCCAGTTCAGTTATTCTGCCGGGGTTTGCCCAGCCCTGCTCGGCATGTGAAATGTTTTCTCTGAAAGACCCAGCAGTGAGATGGGTGAAAAACATTCTCCTGTCCCAGGAGCTGGCAGAAATCCTGGTAAATCTGCAGAAGTATGTTTTTGTCGGTGCTGCTTGTTCTGTGAGGAGAACGAGTATAAACTATGCCAGCAGAAAACCTTTTTTCCTGGAATGAAGTCCTGACTGTGTTCAGAGCATTGTCAGCACAGTTGTGCTGGGAATGGAGCTCTGCTGGTAAACATGTCAGCCCTGGGGAGGCCCAGGGGGGCAAACACAGAGCTCCTGCCCCTCTGCCCCACTCCTCACCAGGTACCTGCTGCCCTTCTCTGCTCAAATCAAAATCTCTGGAATCTTAAATTGCAAAAAAACCCCCATAGATTGTTGCAAAAAACCCCATAGATTTGTTTTTCTGCCCTGCCATCCACCCCCCCCAGGCTGTGGCTGGACATCCCCCAGTGGGGTCAGCACCATGGGGCTATGTCCCCATCCCACATCGCTCAGCAGCTGTGGGGCCAGCACAGCTGAGCCATCACTCCTGCTTGCCTGCCTCAGTTTCCCTGCTGGCACAAGGGGGGACACTGGGAGCTCCTGGATAACAGCAGGTACCCACTTCAGTTTGAATTTCTCATCCTTTGCTGTGTCCTTTTCTCCCTGCTCCTCGTGGCTGGGGTGGGGGATCCTGCTGGGGATCACTGGGATCCTGAATCCTGCTGGGACTTTCAGCAGGGCCACTGGGGGGTTTGGGCTGGAGATCAGAGCTGGGAGCCCCTGGGTGGGTTGTGAGCCCCAGGAGCTGGCAGGGGGTGGCTCAGCACAGCTGGGTGTGCTTCAAAGGGCTCAGGTTTTTCTGGGCTCCAGCCACTGCTTTGCTCTCCAGGCAGGCGTGAAAATGTGAAAGAATGTGAAAAATGTGAAAATGATCATGCTGGCCCCAAGATTTGTAAACTTTCTGGTTAATGTGTAATAAATACATGACAGATAATGCCAGCACAGTGAGGGTGACCCCTCTGTGGTGGCACTGCTAGGGGTGACATCCCAGAGAGGCATCTACACAGCTTGGAGAGGCTCTGGGGCTTTTCTAAACTGGTTTGTCTGGTTTGGACCTCTCCAGGCTCCTGTGAGCCGTGTGCCTGGCCTGCAGAAGGCAGGTTATTTGTTTGTTCAGGGCTGCCCTGGTCCCAGGTGCATGCTGTGCCACCACCAGGTGTGCCACGTCCAGCGCCGCCAGCGCCGCTCATCCCCAGGCCAGTGATCCCTCCCAGCCACTCCTGCAGCTGCAGCCACCTGGGCAGCATTTCCTGCTTGGCACAGGTGCCACAGTGTTCCTGCCAGCCTGGGGAATCTCTCCTGAGTCATTTTGATGTTTGCAGAAAGAGCTGGAAGCTGGTGGGGTCAGCTCTGGGTGGGGCTGGCTGCAGAGGGGATCCCAGGGGGGCTCCCACCCCCTCCAGGGGGATGTGCACAGCCTGGACTCCCCGGGAATTTGAGCTGGAAAGGGTCAGAGAGGGTTCAGAGTGCAGAGTTGGTGCCAGGGATGGCCTCACACTCATGGATGTGGGCTGGATGTGGGCACTCCACAAGCTGTGTTCCACCTCGCCTTCAAACAGCTCTGAGCATCAGGGATCAGCAAGTTTTGTTTGATGCTAATGCATGAATTTGAGCCCTGAAAGACCTTCCCTGTAATTTAGGGAGGAGAGAGTGTCCTTTGAAAATGGTTTGGGTTGTTTTTGTTAGCTGTGTCATCCTGGCATCCCTCCCCAGAGTAAATGGAAGGGACAGAGGTTTGTGGGTTCGGCTGCTTTGAGGTGGGCTGGGTTTTTCTGTGGGGCTGCAGGTGCAGCTGGGGGGAGCCCTGGAGCACTCTGGGGGTGCAGGGCAGCCCCTCAGGAGCTGGGACTGGGATGGTGCTGCTGGGAGGGTGCTTGGAGAGGCTGGGATTTGGCACAGAGAGCAGCTCAGCCTGGGAGGGGCTGGGAGCTGCTGGATGCCAGGGCAGGTGCCAGAGGGCAGGATTAGCTGGTGTGTCTTCCCAGAAAGCCTGAACACCCCTGCCTGAGGAGATCAGCTCCACTTCTGGGGCTTTGTTTTCTCCCAAACCCCAGATCTGGCACAGGGTGATACCTTGCTCCATTGTGGAGAGTCCCAGACAGGGAACTGGGATGGGGCTGGGATGGGGCTGGGATAGGGCTGGGATAGGGCTGGGATGGGGCTGGGATGGGGCTGGGAAGGGATTGGGAAGGGATTGGGATGGGGCTGGGATGGGGCTGGGATGGGGCTGGGATGGGATTGGGATGGGGTTGGGAAGGGATTGGGATGGGGTTGGGATGGGGCTGGGATGGGGCTGGGATGGGGAAGGGATGTGGCTGGGATGGGGTTGGGGGATTGGGAAGGGGTTGGGAGGGGGCTGGGATGGGGCTGGGATGGGGCTGGGATGGGGTTGGGAAGGGGTTGGGAAAGGGTTGGGAAGGGGCTGGGATGGGGTTGGGATGGGGCTGGGATGGGGCTGGGAAGGGGTTGGGAAAGGGTTGGGAAGGGGCTGGGATGGGGTTGGGATGGGGCTGGGATGGGGTTGGGATGGGGCTGGGATGGGGTTGGGATGGGGCTGGGATGGGGCTGGGATGGGGCTGGGATGGGTCTGGGAAGGGGCTGGGATGGGATTGGGAAGGGGTTGGGATGGGGCTGGGATGGGGCTGGGATGGGGTTGGGATGGGGCTGGGATGGGGCTGGAATGGGATTGGGAAGGGATTGGGATGGGGCTGGGATGGGCTGAGGTCTCCCTGACCACTGTGGTGTTGGTGGCTCAGTTCTGTGCTGTCCTTGGCCCAGCTGGGCTCAGCCCCTGGGCAAGGGGTGTCAGAGCCAGGCAGAGCTGCTGCTCCTTTCAAGTCCCCATCCATGAGGAAATCCAATGAAATTGCAAAGGAATTTTTGTGTTGAAAGTAAAGGCAAATTAGCTGCCATCAAACATGTCCAGAGACCTGATCTGGATTGTTGGAGCTGTGGGGATGCAGAGGGTGCAGAACAGGACCTGAGCTCGTGGGCTTTGTTGGGGCAGGGCTGAGCAGCCTTTGCCAGAGCTGAGCCCCCTCCCACAGCTCAGCCCCAGCACCCACCCCCATTAGCTGATGTACTGAGAGCCTCCAGCCTTCATAAATTAACACTCTGGGCTATGAATTATGAATGGAGCCACATCTCTGATCACTGCAATGCTCTGCTGACAGCCCAGGAGCTGCTGATCCAAGTGACAGCCCAAAGCTTTTAAATAAGTGAACAGCAAAACCTGGGAATAATTCACTTTGCAAGCTACAAACAGCTTGGCCTACAGATGGGGCTCATCCTATTCCCTCTCCTGCCTCCTCCTGTCCTGTTCTTCTCTTTTGTTCCCAGTATTGTCTTCTCTGCTCTCCTTCTCTGTGTTCATGGGTGTTGTCCTGCTTGGCCATCCCATGGGAGCTGCATCCCTCCTGCCACGTTCCTGGCACCTCTGGGGACAGCTGGTCCTGGCCATCCCAGCCCAGCACAGATCCCCACAGCCAGTGCAGAGCTCCTGCTGCAGGACCCAGCAGGTTTTTGGCACAGCTCCATCTCCCTTTGGCCATAACTTGGTGTTCAAGACATCGTATTCCACATCTCCATCTGCTCCATGGAGCTCTGCCACAGCTCCCTCTCTGCCATCGCTCCTTGGAGCCTTTGTCCTTGAACCTTTCCATCTCTGGAGGCCAAATCCTGCTCTAAGCAGCTGGATGTGCTTAATCCTGGATGTTCCTGGGGGGTTTTGCCTTCTGGATCTGGATTCCTGCCTCCTCACCTCTGGGGCAGCTCCCTCCAGCAGCTCCTGCCCTGGCAGCTGTGGGGCAGAGGGAGCAGAACTAAATTGAGACAATGAGCTTCAGACACTTGCCAGTTGTGACAAACGAGGGCAGGGCCCTGTATGAACCCCTTGTGGGGCTGCAGCACTTGGGAGAAAGCCCTTGGCAAGCAGGAGGGAGCAGGGGATGGCAGGAGCTGGGGATGGCAGGAGCAGGGATGGCAGAAACATGGGATGGCAGGAACTGGGGATGGCAGGAGCTGGGATGGCAGAAACATGGGATGGCAGAAACATGGGATGGCAGGAGTGTGGGATGGCAGAAACATGGGATGGCAGGAGCAGGGATGGCAGAAACATGGGATGGCAGGAGCAGAGGATGGCAGGAGCTGGGATGGCAGGAGCAGAGGATGGCAGGAGCAGGGATGGCAGGAGCAGGGATGACAGGAGTGTGGGATGGCAGGAGCTGGGGATGGCAGGAGCTGGGAATGGCAGAAACATGGGATGGCAGGAGCAGAGGATGGCAGGAGCAGAGGATGGCAGGAGCAGGGGATGGCAGGAGCAGAGGATGGCAGGAGCAGAGGAAACCATCCCAGCCTGAGCAGTGGGTGCAGGAAAGGGGCACTGTGCATTCCCATCCTTTCCAGTTGAGCCATTGTGAACCAGGCAGCAGAACAACTTCAAAGGCAAAGTCTTGTTGTCTGAAGAGGCTGTTTTGTCCTGGTCTCTGGAGGTGTTTTGCCCTGATCTCTGCAGAAGCTGCTCTGCCCTGGTCTCTGCAGAAGCTGCTCTGCCCCGGGCTGGGGTGCAGGAGCACTCCCCTGTCCTGACCATTTCATTTCCCTTGCACAGGGGATGCTGTAACCAGGGGAAGGATGGACTGACAGACCCCCAGCAGGCCCCACCCAAGGCTGAGGGGCTCAGCCTGCAGGGAAGGAGCCAGTTTTGGACACAAACATCGCTCTGGCTGCGGCGAGGGGAGAGGAGCTGAGAGGAGCTGCCGCGGATCGAACCCGCTCCTGGAGGGGAAAATACCACTTCAGTTTGGTGTCTAATTAGATATTTACCAGGAAGGAAGGAAAGATATAAATAGGGTGACAGTGACTTCAAAGGGTGTTTTTTGACTTCTAAGAATAACACCTTTGCTGGCGCTGGTTTCGGGAATATCGGCTGTGCCTGGGTGTGAAAGGCGGAGGAGGTGTCGCAGCTCGGTCGGCAGCCAAGGGAGCAAACCCAGACCCCAGCCCCGCTCCAAACCCAGACCCCAGCCCTGCCCCAGCCCCACAGGACCAGCTGAGGAAGGGACAGAGCCCCTGGAAAGCTCTGCTGCATCCACAGGGACACAGCAGGGGCAGTTTGGGGAAGCCCAGCAGAGCTGCACCGCGGGCAGGAGGGGACGTGTGGCACCATGGGGACCCCACCCCTGTCCCCGTGGGCTCTGCTGGTGCCCACCCTGGTGCTGGTGGGGCTCTGGGCTCCCTGTGTGGTGAGCAGGCAGCCCAACTTCATTGTCATCCTGGCCGATGATGTGGGCTGGGGGGATCTGGGCGCCAACTGGGCAGAGACGAAGGAGACCCCGCATTTGGACCAGCTGGCTGCTGAGGGAACAAGGTAATGTCTGTCCCCCTCCCTGCCCTCACCCTGCACCCCTGGTTACTCTGCCCTGCTGCACAGGGGAATTCAGCCCTGTGGGACTGGCAGGTGAGGGAATTTTGTTGGTGTGGGTTTTGCTGCATGGGGAGGGCAGCCAGAGCCTGGCACCTTGGGGTGCAGCTCCATCCATCCCTGCCGGAGCCTTCATCTGCCACTCCTCACCCTCATCCCCAGCGCAAAAGGGGGAGTGTCCAGGGGAGCAGGGAGGGGCAGGGCAGCGTTGGAGCACACGGGATGTCATGAGCTGAAGGGTTTTTCACGTTGCAGGTTCGTGGATTTCCACTCAGCTGCCTCCACGTGCTCCCCGTCCCGCGCCTCGCTGCTCACAGGGCGCCTGGGGCTGCGCAATGGGGTCACCCACAACTTCGCCATCTCCTCTCTTGGGGGCCTCCCCCGCAACGAGACCACCCTGGCCGAGGTGCTGAGGGAGGCTGGCTACAGCACAGGGGCCATAGGTAATGCCCAGAGTGCCAGGGGCAGCTGGGGAGGTGCCAGGGGGTGCCTGGGTGAAATGCTGGCAGTGAAAGGGAAATCTAAAGGATCACGTGAGAGACATTTCACACATCCCCCTTGCATTTTGCAACGCCAAGCTTAAAATCTTCCTTTTCAAGGGTGCTGCCGGAAATCCAGACTTCTCCATTTAATCTCTCATTGCTTTATCTCCTGAGGAATGTGCTGGGTGTTCCTTAGCAAACAGGGCTGGCTCTGCCATCCTGCATCCTGCACCACAGGCGGTGCTGCTGGCCAGGTGGCTTTGGGCACCCTCCTGTCACTGTGGGTCCCCCTCAGCCTGCACAAACCCTTTGCATCTGCAGCTCCTGCTGTTGTGCTGGCAGAAATTCCCTCTGTTTCTCCATTTTTGCAGTTTTCCCTCTTGGATTGGAGTGTTGGGTGGGAGCAAGCGTGTGCTGGAGGTCAGAGGATGAAGCTGGGTTTAGGGAGGGCTTAGGGAGCTGTCTGCTCAGAGCACAAACACATGAAAGAGCCTTTTAAGGCTGGAAACATTTGCTTTGCACAGCCATGAGATACCTTATGCATTTTTTCTGGGTTTTCTGCAAAAATACACGGCGTTCTGGAATGGCAGCCAGCACAAACAAGGAACCTTTCTTGTAGCTTGATTAAAGCCCCCAGTGCTGCGGGCACCTTGTGGGTGAGGGCTGCTGGTGGCCAGAGCTGTGTCACCTCTGAAATGATGTTCTGTGGCTTCCATGCAGGCAAGTGGCACCTGGGACATCACGGCCACCATCACCCCAGCTCCCGTGGTAAGGGCTGTGCCAGGGGAAAGGGGCTGAGGGCCCTGTGGCCACCTTGACCCTGCTGACCCCCTCACCTTCCTCTCAGGCTTTGACTACTACTTTGGGATCCCCTACAGCCACGACATGGGCTGCACAGACACCCCTGGCTACAACCTGCCACCCTGCCCGCCCTGCCCACAGCACAGCACCACTGCCAGGTATGGGCACGGGGAGCTGGGTGTGTGCAGCAGTGTCCCCAGCCCTGAGGGCTGCCCTGGGCTGTGTCTGTGTCTGCAGCAGTGTCCCCAGCCCCGAGGGCTGCCCTGGGCTGTGCTCACCTCCCCTCATGCTCTGTGCACCCAGTTTCCCCCTGCAGGGCATGGGCTGGCAGCCCCCTGTGCCATGGGGACATTGGCACCGCTCCCTTTGTTCTCCCTCCCTTGGCTTTCTGGAAGCCAGGAGATCAGCCAGGCTCTGTGCCTGCTCTGTGACCAGCCTGGGGTGGCTTTTCCCAGCAGGCTGGTGAGGAAGGACTGTTACACAGAGGTTGCCCTGCCTCTCTTGGAGAACACCACCATCATCCAGCAGCCCGTGGAGCTCGGCAGCCTGGCCAGGCGCTACGCAGAGGAGGCAGAGAGGTTCATCCAGAGGGCCAGGTGAGGGCCACCCACTGTCCCCTGTCTGTCCCCTTAGCTAGGACAGCTCCTGGGGCACTGCAGGACTCCTTTGCATCACGCTGGTGCAGTGCCAGGGGAGATGGGTGTTGCCCCATGGTTCAGATTTGGGGTGTCCATGGCTTGGCTTCCTGCTGGAGGAGGCACTGAGACTCTTCTGGTGTCCTCTAAAGGGGTTGTGTGTTTTTAAAACCATCGTTTTTTGGGGAAAGCCAAAGCCTTTGAGTGGGGCTGTGCCTCCTTCTTCCTGGGGGGAATGTGCACAATATCAAGGTCTGTCCATGCCTGCATCCCTGTGGATGGGGTGGCAATGGGGTGGCAATGGTGCCTCCATGGGTGTGGGGCTGTTCCTCCCTCCTGGGATGAATGTGCAGATGTCAAGGTCGGTCCATGCCTGCATCCCTGTGGATGGGGTTGCAATGGGGTGGCAATGGTGCCTCCATGGGTGTGAAGTGCCGGCAGGGGCTGTCAACAGGCGCTGAGTGGTGTCAGGGTGGGACCAGAACAGCACCCAGAGGTGTTTGAACACGCCCCGTGTGTGAGATTGGATCCATTTTGGGGATAAAGCACCCGGAGCTCGCTGGGCTCCGGGATCTGCCTCCCCCAGGCTCAGAGCACGGGAGGTGCCCGGCTCCGTTTGTCCCCGAGGAGCAAAGCGGCTCCTCCGGACGAGGCCCCCGAGCCCTGCTGACGGGTTGTGTAATTTTAATCCCCATTATTGGCGGATTACGAGCTGTGACTTTGCAAAACGCCTCCCTGCAGAGCGAGCAGAGGAAGCGCTGCCGGGCAGCCCTGCCCGAGCCCATCCCCGCCTGCATCCCGGGATAACGCAGGCACGGGGAAGGCGGCTCCTGGGGTGAGGTTTGTGTAACACAGGTGAAAGAAGGGCTGGGTAGGGAGCAGCACATGGGGAAATGGCTCTCTATAAAACTGGGCGCTGTTTTGTTGCATAAAACCTGTAGTTTGTCCCTTTGGGTACCAAGGATTGGCCGTGGGGTGGCTTGGCCGCGTTTGGGATGCTGAGGGTACCCAGGCTCTGGGCTGTGGGGCAGCACCAACCCCTTCTCCTGCCAAACCCCCAGCCCTCCAGGCTGCCTGGGTGCTCTGTGGCTGTGAAACCGAGTGTGTAAACTCTGGGTTAATAGAAAAAACCTTTAAACGCCCAGAAATGTGCTGGGGTTATCTGTGTTCATGGAGAACAGGATTAGGCAGGTGCCTGCCTTTTCTTCCCTTCCCTTTGATGGCTTATTCCAGTTTTTCCCTGCCTGACTCATTCATTACAGGGCAACAAAAGAACACCGGATTTGCCATCTCGGTGTTTTTTTAACCAGCCAAGGTTGAGCAATTTGTGACAGTGAGACGTGGCACTGCTCAGCACAGGCGAGCGTGGGAGCAAAAGTCAGGGACTGCTGTCTTCAGTTATTGATTAAACGTTTGCCTGATCTTCAGAACAATTCCGAGGTGTCTGTGTGGCAAACGGGAGGGATGTTCAGCTGAGCATCACAGCCACGAGTCCATCTGGATGCTGGAGCCAGGGGAAGCAGCTTTCCCTGCTCCAGGGGCTGTGGCATCCCTTGGGAAGAGGTCTCACAGCAGCTGTTTGCAAGGGGCACATGAGCCTTCCTGACCCCCATGTCCTGCAGGGATGGGCAGGGTGCCAGGGGAGATGCCAGGGGAGATGCCAGGGGAGATGGGTGCTGCCCCATGGCTCAGATTTGGGGTGTCCATGGCTTGGCTTCCTGCTGGAGGAGGCCCTGAGGCTCTTCTGGTGGCCTCTGAAGGGGTTGTGTGTTTTTAAACCATTGTTTTTGAGCAAAGTCGGAGCGGGGGTTTTGAGAAAACCCTTCATGGGGCTCCAGCCCCCAGCAGCTCCAGGCAGGATGGGGTTTTTTACTCATTTTCCAGGCCAGGTGGGTGCCGGGCAGAGGAAGGAAGTGCAGACACGCACTGGGAAGGGCCCCAGAGCTGGCAGGAGGCAGAGATGGGGCCGGGCGCGTGCACAGCCGGGACACGGCCCAGGATCCGGCCCCTCCTCGCCGCTGGCCATCCCACCCTTCCCCTCCGAGCTCCCTGAGGAAGAGCAGCTCGTTGGGGCAGATAAATATAGCTGTAAACAAGCAAACAGGACGTGTCCGTGCTGGCCAGGGCAGCGCGCGGTGGTGAACGTGCCGCGGGGCTGGTGGCACTGCCCGGGCTGTGCCGGGCTCTGTGGGTGCCCTGCTGTGCCACATCCCCTGCCCACAGCACCACCAGGCCGGGCACCTGCTGGGGAGGGGGGAAAAGGGGCAAAATGGGCCCTCTGAGAGAGGGGAGGGAGGTGTGTGGCTGCAGCAGCATGGAGCGTTTGGCTGCTGGAGATGGAGGAAGGGGCAAATCCATCCCAAATGGGGGCACAGGTGACAACAGGGGGACAGTGGGGAGAGGTTTAAGCAGCAGCAGGGGAGAAGTGGCTCAGCTCATCCTCCTCCCTGTAAGGAGAGGGGTGCCTGGAGCTGGGTGATGTACCTGGGGTGTTTTCCCCCAGGGAGCTGCGGCAGAGTGGAAGGGTTTGTGTCCCCAGGCTCAGCAGTGCCACCACCCCGGTGACCTCCTGGAGGCTGAACGCTCTCTGTCTGTCCCCTGTGCAGTGACAAAGGACAGCCCTTCTTCCTGTACCTGGCCCTGGCCCATATGCACGTCCCGCTGGTGCCCCCGCTGCCCCCTGGCCCGGGCAGGGGCATCTACGGAGCCTCCCTGGGGGAGATGGATGCGCTGGTGGCACGGGTGAAGGAGGCGGCCGACAGCCTGGGCAGGGGCAGCACGCTGCTCTGGTTCACAGGTACTGCAGGGACACTGCAGGGACACTGCAGGGACACTGCAGGGACACTGCGGGGCTGGGGGCTGTGGGATCCTCTGAACCCGAGAGGAGCAACAAGAGAGGCAGAGAAAAAATGATGGAAACGATTCTGATCTCACTCGCTGCTCCTGTGTTGTGCCAAAGGGGGGGGGGTGACACTGGGGAGGCTGCACCTGGAGGTGGGGGCAGGATCTGTGCTTGTCCCCTGCTCTCAGTGTCCCCTGTCCTCAGTGTCCCCTGCCCTCAGTGTCCCCTGCCCTCGATGTCCCCTGCCCTCCATGTCCCCTGCCCTCAGTGTCCCCTGCCCTCAGTGTCCCCTGTCCTCAGTGTCCCCTCTCCTCCATGTCCCCTGCCCTTGTTGTCCCCCACCCTCAGTGTCCCCTGCCCTCGTTGTCCCTGCCTGGATGCTCTCACTGCTCTGTGGGTGGGGAGTGGTCCCACCGCGGGGCTGGGTGGGGGTCCCACCCTGCCATGGTGCCCACCCTGCCATGGTGCCCACCCTGCCAGCCCCCTCCGGCTGCGGGGCTGAAGCGGTGGGGCCGTGACTAATTAAGCCACAAATCCTCGTTCGTTAAGAAGCCCAAATCCGCTCTGTGTCTCCCAGCAGCCTCCCTAATGAGGATGTCTTGCTCCTGATGACAGGAACCGCTCGGCCGCTCATTAACACCCGGAGCTGGTGGCACCGAGCCCCCCCTGCCCTGCCCTGGCTGCCCTCCAGCCCCTGCAAACAAACTGCTAAAAACCAAAACCCATCAACTCCCCGTGGGGAGGCATCGCAGGGGGGGCAGAGAGGGATGGAAGGGTCACTTGTCCTTGCCTGCCCCCCACTGTGGGTGTCCCTTGTGCTCCTGGTGTCCCTCATGGGGACATTTCTTTCTCTTGCAGGTGACAATGGCCCCTGGGCACAGAAGTGTGAGCTGGCAGGACGCCTCGGGCCATTCGTGGGTGCCTGGCAGAGGCAGAGAGGTAACCTGGCAGCGTGGGGGGGGGACACAGGAGGGAGTGCTCCACAAAGCCCTGACTGCCCACTGAGGGGACACTGGCATCATTCCATGCACCCCAGCCTCTCCCTGGCTGCCTCACTGCCCACTGAGGGGACATGGGCATCATTCCATGCACCCCAGCCTCTCCCTGGCTGCTCCCCTAAGCCCTCACTGCCCACCAAAGGGACACTGGCATCATTCCATGCACCCCAGCCTCTGCCCAGCTGCTCCCCAAAGCCCTGACTGCCCACTGAGGGACATGGGCATCATTCCATGCACCCCAGCCCCTCCCTGGCTGCTCCACACATCCCTCACTGCCCACCTAAGGGACATGGGCATCATTCCATGCACCCCAGCCTCTCTCTGGCTGCTCCACAAAGCCCTGACTGCCCACCTAAGGGACATGGGCATCATTCCATGCACCCCAGCCTCTCCCTGGCTGCCTCACTGCCCATCAAAGGGACACTGGCATCATTCCATGCACCCCAGACTCTCCCTGGCTGCTGCCCTGGGCTTGAATGCACCCCAGTGCTATTTTTTTTCTTCCAAACAGTCAAATTCCCCCCAAAACTGCTGTGGGGGGTGTGTTTGGGTCCCCATTACCCCGGAGCTTGGGGTGAGTGTGCTGGTTTGCAGATGGGATGCTGGGATCTGCCCCATCAGGGTCTCACAGCCCCCAGAGCAGAGCACCCACCACCCTCCCCACACCCCGGGACTTTGCTTTTCTTTCTCTCCACCGTTTTGTTGGGTTTTAACTTTGTTTTGTTTTGTTTTGTTTTGTTTTGTTTTTTTTTTTCACTCTTTCCTCCTTTTCCGGCCAAGCCATCTGCTTGGTGGGTTTATTTCTGCCGGGGCAGCCAGAAACATCCATGAGTCAGGCGTTTCCCACTTCTGCTTGTATTACGCGGTGTTAACGTGCCAGTCCCGGGGTCAGCGCTGAGGCTCATCCTCCTCCTCTTCCTGACACCCTGGCCACGCCACCGTGCAAACAGCGCTGGCTCTGTCCCATTCCCAGAGCCCTTCCTTCTCCTGGCCCCGGGGATGGAATCGTAACCTTCATTTTCTAGTAAACAAACCCCGCTGCCGGCCCCGGGTTGTTGCTCTTGAGCAACCCCCGGTCACAAGCCCGAGCAGATGGTGCAGAACAGGGTGAGCAGAACACAGAACACAAACCACGGCTCCTTCCAGCCCCTGTGCCCTGCAGAGCCCCCGGCAGGGAGGGAGGAACCAGTATTTAAATTCCATTTTATGCATCCATTTCTTTTTATCTTGACATTTTTTAAAAAAATTTTTTTGGGTCAAATAATTAAACCATATATCCCTACATTATCCAAATCATTTGTCATCAATGCTTTGAATTAATGTTCCTCTATATTTCCTAGTATCAAAACCAATAACCAACTGTCATCATCACTCCACAACCACCCCCAAACAAATACAGAATTAACCCCAGAACTCACCCCCTCCCCAATAAAAACCAAACAAAAATACAAACCATGATGATAAATCATCAACCAATCACCCACCACATTTTACATTCTTATAGCTTATAAAAAGCGTGGCACTGAGGATGTCAAGATGGCTGCCACGCACACCCAAGGACAAAAGACTTATCCTAACCTCACTGTTGGTTTCTGCTGGGTATCTACATGCAAGTATGGGGCTGGCAGAGCGTCTGAGCTGGCTGCAAACACCCCGGGGCCAGGGTGGGCTGGAATCCCTGCTCTGGTGGCTGCAGGATGCTTGCAGAGCTGGCCCAGGGGTGCCAGGCTGGGATGCTCGGCCCTCCCAGCCCGGGGTTGTTGTTCCTGGGCAGGGAAAAGCCCCCAAGGCATGGGAGAGCAGGGATAGACAATTCTCCCTGTCTAAAAAAAAAAATAATTTAAAAATCTATTTATTTATATATGTTTTCATGTGTTTCCATATGTTTCTATATGTCTCTATATGTTTCTATGTTCCTATATATTCCTATACATTCCTACATGTTCCTACATGTTCCTATATTTTTCTAACATGTATCTATATTTTCTAACATGTTTCTATACATTTCCAACATGTTTCTATTCATTTCCAACGTTTCTATACATTTCCAACATGTTTCTATTAATTTCCAGCATGTTTCTATACATTTCCAACATGTTGCTACATGTTTCTATGTTTCCAACATGTTTATGTTTCTACATGTTTCTATATGTTTCTAACATGTTTCTGTTTCTACATGTTTTTATAAGTTTCTGCTTGCTTCTGTATGTTTCTAACGTGTTTCTATGTGTTTCTAACATGTTTCTATACATTTCCAACATGTTTCTGCATGTTTCTATATGTTTCCACAGGTTTTTATATGTTTCCACATGTTTTATATGTTTCTACGTTTTTATAAGTGTCTGCATGTTTCTGTATGTTTCTAACGTGTTTCTATGTGTTTATAACATGTTTCTATACATTTCCAACATGTTCCTCTATGTTTCTACATGTTTCTATATGTCTCTACATGTTCCTATATGTTTCTACATGTTCCTATATGTTTCTACATGTTCCTATATGTTTCCTGTAGCTCCATCTTTTGTTTTAGGGTCCAACCCTAAATCCCAGGGATGTTTTTCTCTGGTTTCAGGTGGTCACTGGAGCTGGGAGAGAGCAGCAGATCCGTGTGTGCTGCCCCTTTCTCTGCCCTTTTCCCTTTCACAGCCCCCAAAAATTCCTCTCCCGCCTTGGGGTCAAAAGTGCAGCAAGGGGAGGGATACTGGGAGAGAGAAAAACATTCTGGGGATGTGATGCTGGGCATGTTTTGAGGCAGGTTGGGGAAGTTCCAGAGCTGGTGTCCCTGTGCTGAGGACCTGCTGTGTGTGTGGTGGGAGCAAGGTTTTCATCCCACCACGGGAATGCACAGTTCAGCTTTCCTGGAAAGCCTGGAAAGTCCCCACAGCAGCAGGGCTGCATCATCCCCACTCTGGACAAAATCCCCTGCTTGGGTTTGGGTGTTTGAGCCCTGTTTACTTCCCAAAGTGTTAATGTGACCTCATCCCAGGCTGCTCTGACCTGACCAGAGGTGCTGGGGTGGCTTGGTCAGGAAATATCCGTCTGATGTCCTTCCAGAGAGCCCTGACCATGCCTGGAAAAACCCTGCAAATGCATCCAGGAGCATGAGTTCTTTCATTTACGTGCAGAGATGGGGCTTGATATTAATTGCTGTGGTTTCCTGGGGGGTCTGGGGGAAACACCAAAACTTTGGGTGGGGAATGGGGGAGATTTGGGTGTGCCAGGGTCAGAAACCTTTTCCCTGGGCTGGTCCCTGTGGCAGCTGTGCCACGGGTGTCCTTGTGGGCACGGCAGCATTGCCTGGGGGCCTGGATCAGCTGGGGCAGGGCTGGGGACAGCGCAGGGGACAGCGCAGGGGCTCTCTTGGCCGTGCCCCCAGGAAATGGCTCAGGGCGAGCGCCGCCGTTGCCATGTGCACGCTGAAAGGCAGCGCACAAAGGCTGCTCCGGGGAACTTTGTGAATCGCCTTGGGATTTTCTCTTTGCCCCATTCCCAACCCCTTCCCCCTCCAGCTGCCTGGGGCCCTTTGGGCTGCGGCCAAGGCTGAGGCTCTCCAACCGCCCTCCAGCCCTTTTGATTTTGGGGCTCTCATTTTGGGCTCTGCACCCCAATTTTTGGCGCTCAGCATCCCGATTTTGGTGCTCAGAACCCCGATTTTGGGGCCCAGCATCCTGATTTTGGTGCTTAACACCCCAATTTTGGGGTCTAGCACCCCGATTTTGGGGCCCAGCATCCCAATTTTGGTGCTCAGCATCCCGAATTAGGTGCTCAGAACCCCGATTTTGGTGCTTAGCACTCCAATTTTGGGGCTCAGCAACCCCATTTTAGTACTCAGAACCCCAATTTCGCTGCTCAGCACCCCGATTTTGGTGCTCAGCACCCAGATTTTGGGGCCCAGCATCCCGATTTTGGTGCTTAGCACCCCGATTTTGGTGCTTAGCACCCCAGTTTTGGCGCTCAGCACCCCAATTTTGATGCTCAGCACCCCAATTTTGGCGCTCAGCACCCCGATTTTGGGGCTCAGCATCCCGAATTAGGTGCTCAGAACCCCGATTTTGATGCTCAGCATCCCGATTTAGGTGCTCAGCATCCCAATTTTGGGGCTTAGCACCCCGATTTTGGGGCTCAGCATCCCGAATTAGGTGCTCAGCACCCCAATTTTTGTGCTCAGCACCCCGATTTCGGTGCTGAGCCCTGCAGGTGGAGGCAGGGACTGGGCAGCCTCTCAAACCCAAGGGCAGGGCAGTGCTTTGGGTGCTGTCAGGGGAAGGATGGATCAGGTTCATTAACTGGCAGGAGGGTTATTAGCAGGATGGTATTTTTAATGAGGTTTCCAGCGGTCAGGGGAGGGGGAGCTGTTGGTGCTGAGCCCTGTAAGGGACAGGAGCCCCTGGAATGAATTCCTCCATTTCCCGCCTGCTCCATTCTCTCACCTGGCATCAGAAGGGGATGGAAATGCGATGGCTCTGGCAGCTGCTGCATTTCTCATCACTCACTGGAGCAAACACAACCCAGCGCCCAGCTGAGACCCCTGTGAGCAGCTCCTGCAGTGCCTCTCCCTCCCCTGGCCCGCTGGAACCACGCTCCTTTGGGGTCATGCACACACCTCTGCCTCGGAACAGTTCCTTTCCCAGCAGAGCTCCAGGCTCAGGAGTTTCCCAGCATCCGCAGGATGCTGAGCACTGCCCCGTTCTCCTGCAGGTGGGAGCTCGGCCAAGCAAACAACCTGGGAAGGAGGGCACCGAGTGCCAGCCCTGGTCTACTGGCCTGGCCGTGTCCCTGCCGGGAGGACGAGCCAGGCTCTCCTCAGGTAAGAGCCGCTCTGGGAACAGGGCTGGCCCCTCTGGAAGGAGCCCCCATCCCCACGCTGCCACCCCGGCCATCACCTGCATTTTGGCAGCTGTGGTTGTGCCCTGCCTCGTGCCAGGCTGTACTTTTGTCCTC